TCTTATGATTTTGCAGATTCAACAGCTTTAGGGAGAGGCTCTTTAGCATCTGCTCAATTTTCTCAGAATATTAAGAAGTAAAGAAACTCTGCCTAAGTGATATCATTATGTCAGACACCATGGGAGAATGTCCGTTCAGTACCTGGATGAAAATTGCCATTATGCTACGTGCCAATAAGATCGAGTCTTACACGGGAGACTTTCACCCTAAATCTGGATGCAGTGAGATGATTTTCCATTGTTTCATGTGCTAGCTTTTCCTCCAAACAGCAATGAAGATCTGGATCACATATTTCCCATGCTGTTCTAAAAACAGGTTATAGTCAGACTGGGCAAATTCATATGCAAATGGAGTGCTTTAAGTTAATCTGCATTTTTTTTTAAGTTCTTGCAATTTTCTTCTAATCTTTTAGCAAACCTAATGAGGACAGTAACAACAATAAATACTTTTACAGTCCTTGCACTGAAGCAGGGTCATTGTAACAGAAGCAAAGCATCACTCTTTTTTTTTTTTCTGTAAAACAAAGTCCAAACCTTTCCTCTTTCCCACCCCTGTCCCTACAACAGCATAGCAGGCTGCCCTGATAGGTTAGTTTAACTGATGTTTGGCAGTTTATCTATTAAGAGAACAACAGGCTTTAATGGTCAAAGGAGCCTAGGTTCTCTCCCCAGTATTTACCTTCTGCATAGCCTGAACAAGGTACTTTACCTCCTCATCTTTGCAGATTCCAGATATTTAGACTGCAAGCTGCAGCAGGGGCCGGGACTGCCTCTCACTGAGGATCTCCAGAACACCAAGTGCAACCGCCCCTTCTCCTGGTGTGCCCCACAGGCACTATTGTAGCGACAGCACCATCTGCCACTGTCACTGAGAGGCTCTGGCACTGCTTTCATGACAGCTGGAAGATCATCCTATCTCACAGGTGTGTGGCACACTGCTTTGGCAGTGAACTGCATGCCACATCAAAGCAAAGACAGTAACCAAAAATGCTTCTTGTCTTCAAGAAGCAGTTGCAAATCACATGAAGATAATGAAAACACTGAGAACCTTCTGATGAGGTTCTGTTTTGAGCTCAGTGGTGTTTTGCCCAAGAATTTAAATAACTGCAGAAAAAAAGAAAAACATCATCCAGAACTCTCTGAAGATAGGCAGTCAAAAAAAAAGGCAAACTTGGTAAGCACAGAAGGCACCTCTTTCCAAAGGAGCCGGGTAAGGAATGAAACCTTAAGTTAGTGCTTCAGTAGCTCAATCAGAGGAGCAAGGAGATTGACTTTGATCAGCACATGTTCCATGGCATTCTTTGGGTACACACTCACCAGTGGTGAAGACCACTTCCCTGCTGACCAGCCTCTGCTCAATTATGGTGAACTGGGGCAGCTCTAGCACCTCCATCCCCGTGACAGCAGAATCGTTTCCTTGCCAGAAGAAGACAATGTCATCAACTGTATAACCATCTGCAGAAAAGTACAAAGAGAGAAGCGAGTTGACAAGCTAGAGCAAATGGCATTTTTTTTAAGGTGACCTGAAAGAGGATCCAAAGGAAAGCCTGTGCCATCAGAAAGCATGTTTAGCCCCCTCCCTCCTGCTGATACTTTGGTTCCCAGCTGAGCTTGGCAGTATGGTCCCCATAAGAAGCAAAAAAAAAAAAAAAAAAAAAAAACCCAAAACACTTGGTCAGAATTCCCACTTCTAGCTAGGATTCAGGAGAAAAAGTAGTTAAAACGGTCCAACATCTCTTGACTTGTGCTAGGTAATCTCCACAGCTGACATAACAGGGACTTGCACATCACAAATGCACCAGCCCAGCATTTTGCTTTTTAAAAACTGCCGTCCTTTACCAGAAGGGGGAGATCACACAATACTTTTTGATGCAGACTCGGTAAACAGTGCCTCAGTAAACAGTACTAAAAAATCCAAAGAGAAGAATATTTACAACAGCAGTGAAAAAGGAAAATCAGACAGTGAAAAAGGAAATCAGAGCATTGGAGCATCATTCTATTCTAAAAACTCTTGGTCAAAGTGCTGGAAAGTGGTCAGGGTCTCTGAGAGGGGCATCCATTTAGTAAGTGTCATCTGAAAAGAGCATTAATTGGAGAGAAAAAAGAAGGGTGAGTCAGGCTGTCAACAAATGCTTTTCTCTTTCATTTCAGGGTAATGGATTCATTCAGAGGTTAACTACACCAAGGGCTGTTAACTACACCTCTTACTTTAACCCCACACCATGGCTGCCAGGTAACAAGGGATGGACGTGCTGAGGAGCCCAAACACACAGCCCCAGGAGCAGGGCTCACAGATTCTCCAGGTGCTCTCGCCTTAGTGGGAGTGAGGCCCGTAGCAGCAAATGATGCCACCCTGCTCTTGCACTGCAGTGATCACAGCCCTGCCCAGGACCCTGAGGACAAAGATTCATCTCCAACTGAGAATTAACGCAGGTTCTGGCCAGCTAGGTTTTGAAGCACTATGGCTACTTCTGCACAAGTCCAGGGGCTGCCTTTTATTCCATGCAGAGCGGCACGGGAGCGTCTTTGCATGTACACAGGCACTAAAACAAGGAATGCAGGGGCTGGGTTTCCTTTAGAGCATTTTACCTATGCCCAGAGAGAGCTTTTATGCACAGCCTGCACTGCAGCACAGCAGCCTGCCTAGTGCACAAGCACTCGCAGCAGAGGAGCAGTTGGCCAGCAACTCCTGGCAAGGCTCTCTGCAGGCTTGCGGCCACTAAGGACAGCTGCCACCAAAACCAGCACTGGCGAGGCCAGTGGAACAAAGAGCAGCTCAATGTAGCATGGAGGAGAACTTCCTCTCCCTAGCCTCAGAGGCACAAGGTTCCCCTGATCTGAGCTGAACACATCGCAGTTCCCCAGGGGAGAATGTCCTGAGCTGCCACTGACTTGGAAGTTGAGGCTGCTTTGGGCAGGCCCTGGACAGGAGACATCCCAAGCCCCCTTCCAAACTGAATTATCCTATGGCTTCGTCTCCAAACCCATGTCCTGTCTGCACTCTCAGTCATTACTGCACTTATTCACAGGTGCTAAAGAATAATAAGAGTCTTCCAAATGTTAAGTCAGATCTGCTCCTGGTGTAGCGCAGCTAAAGGAGGCCTCCACCTCCTCCCCAAAACTGCCTGCTTGGCTCCACTGCAGTAAATGATAAAACACCCACAGGCATAAACCCACAGAGATCCAGAGTTTCAGGTCAGGAAGGAGCTCGGTCATCTCATCTGTTGCAAGGGTGTCATAGGCTGTCACACTGCCTCTATTACCCCAGTTTTATGCACAGGAACTGGCATTTGTGTCTGGCCGAAGCTGCTCTCAAAGATCAAGTGTGGAAAGCATCAAGAAGCCATGGAGGCCCCCTCTCCTCCTCCTGGCTATTGTTTCCAGTAGCTTAAACACTCACAGATAAAAATGCTGTGTGCAATTTTATATTTGAATTTATCTGACTCAGACTTTCAGACACTACTGGTTGTTCTGCATTTTTCTGTTCGGTTATTAAGTCCTTTCCACCCAGCATTCGCCCTCTGTAGAGGTGCATGCAGCCTGTAAACAAGTCACCTCTCCATCTCCCTTGCAGTAAACAAACCAGATTGAGCTATTTAGGTTTCTTACTGCAAAACATCTGCTCTAGCCCTTGAACCACTTTTCAGCATCTTTTTTTTTCAACCTCTTCTGATTTCTCAACTTCCTTTCTAAATTATGGAGACCAGAATTAGACATGGTCCCTTTCCCAGTCTCACCAGCAACATACACAGAGGCCAATCGATTCCCGTCTCTGACTCACTGCTCCCCTGGTTTATATAACCCAGGCTCACTCCAGCCTTTTTTGCCAGAGCTCTGCTACGAGACCTCCAGCAGTGGTTCTCAGCCACTGCGATCCCTTGATCTTTTTACCCCGTGAATACTCCTCCAAATACGGTCCCTCAGTCTGGCCTGTGTTCCCACACCCAGACACAGGGCTCTGCATTTAGCTGCATTCAAATGTATTCTGGATGCATTCAAATTTGGATGTATTCAAATGTGCAGCGAGCAAGCTACGCAGACTGCTATCTTCATCATCCACAAATTTAACAGCAGTGACTTTAATTTTACTTCCTGATCAGCAGTGAAAATGTCAAATTACAGTAACTAATTTTAGCAGATGTCTTGGTTAACTAGTTCCTACTCCATATATTCTGTGACCTGACGATCTCAGGTACTGATCTGTTCCTTTTTTTTTTTTGATCATAGCATTATGCAATATGAAATCAAACATGTTTTTCAGGAAACTACTTTTTAAAGTCATTCTAAAGGGAAAGATTGTTCATTCTAAAAATAAATACTTCTCTTTGATTTTCAGCTTTTAAAAGAGAAGCAAATTTCCATTTCACTTTTTAAAAGTAAAGGAATGTTCAAAAAGACAAGTCATTTCAAATTTATATGCCATAAAGTATTGATATAACATTTTGAAATGTCAGATTAACAGCCTGCTTGTTGCCCAACTCAGGGCACTTTTGCTGGGCACTGGCACACGGTCATGCAGGGGTGTAGGTGGAAAGGGCTGCTTTTCAGGACAGGGGGAATCCTGTCTGATCAAAAGATCATTGATAGGTAAACCCTCTTTGGCAATGTAGGTTATGTTCTGCTACTCCCTTCCGGCATCATTCTTCGGCACATCTGGCCATACTGTTGGCTACTGTCCATTTTGCCACAGGTATTTTGCAGATTTTGGGGCCAGGGAGGCAAAAGGAAGGCAGCGGTGCCACAGGTAGCGATGGGATGAGGCAGGACACCCAGAACATCAGGGAGATGACCCACACGGCTCAGGAAGGATTGCTGTACTGCCTTGGGAAAGGGGACTGGCCCAGCTCTGTGCTGGTCTGCCAGCGGGGATGGGCTGAGCTGGGCACAAAAGCAGGTCCCACAGCCACAGTCCACACAGGAGCCCTCCACATTTGCCACTAGTTGCTGCAGAGAAGGAGACCCTGCTGCTCACAGTTACTTTGCAAATTCATCACACCAGCACCATTAAAAAGTTATTTTGGTGGATGTTTTCTCTTGCTTTTTTAAGCAAGACATGCACAGGACTATTGTTCCAACGCTGCGTGGACATGGGAACAAATAACACGGAGCCCTGTGGTTTCAAAGGTGCCAAGCATGTAAAGAGACAAAAGCTTGGCGGAAATAAATGGTGCATCTCTTCATCTCTGCGTGGATCTTAGAACGATCGTAAGGAAATGTTGCTTCGGCTAACAAATTGGCTTGACATGTCCCATTAAGAACAAAATCGCAACATGGGGAACTGTGGGTAATTCTCTGCCTTCTGTTTTCTCGGTTGTATGGTAAACTATTCTCAAAATACTAAAAAGTGCCAGCAATGACATGTCATTAGTGCCTCCAGCAGGACCTAATTTACATTCCATTCCCCACCACGGCAAGCATTGCCATCGCGGCGCATCCCGAGCAACCCGAAAGCGGGGGCTCCCAGGCACAGGCAGGGCTGCGAAGGCAGCAGAGAGCTTTCTGACGACGGATGCCGTGGGACTTCTTTTATGAAAAAAGCAATTCTCTGATAATCATCGCTGAAGCTGCATCATCATTACTGAGAGATCTGCTGTTCTGGACCGCTCCTGTGGGGATACTGTGGTGCATTTTTATGAGGGAGAGCTGGACTTCCTTCACCACTGTGGTCGGGCAAGTCTTTTTATAGGAGCCAAAGAAATTTCAGGTGGAAAAGGGCCTCAGGAGGTCTCCTGTCCCACCTCCTGCTCAGAGCAGGGTGGCTGCGAAGGTCAGGCCAGGATACCCAAGGCCTCCTTGGTGCCAGAAGAGGCTCCTACAGCTTTCTTGAGGGCAAGGAGCATTTTAGTGCCCAAACCACCATAGGACCTCAGTTTCCTTGGCTTTTTGCCCACAAGGCTCTCTCAAGGGGGAGCTTGGAAGAAGGGGCCTGGTCCTGCTCATGGGCTGTGATGTGGCCTCAGCCGCTCTCAGCAGGGACTCATGGGGCTTGGTGGACACCCTGAGGGCAGGGGGCCTGCAGTGCCCTGGGGAGGAGGCCGGGGAGCGGCACATGGGGTGATAGGGAGCGGGCTGCAAGGTGTACGCACAACTCTCGATCTCCAGTGTGCAGTTCTGCTGGTCCAAGGGGTACCTCCTCAGGTCCATCATGCAGGCGGCCGTGGTGGTGATCCTGAAAGGGGAAAAGCATACAGATATCAGAAAAGAAGGGGAGAAAAGTGGGGGGGAAAAAAAAACACGGAAGGAAGGGTGGACGCAAAAGGCAGCATTTGGGGCTGTGGTTTCCTTGGCAACCAGGGAGAGCCGTGGCGGGAGGAGGGAGGTGTGCGGGCCGGGGGGCTGGATGCGCCTCACCCGCAGCTGCATAACTTAAATCTTCCGTGACTCATGGCAGCAAGGCAGCATCTCTATTAGCGAGGTGAGGCAGGGAAGGGTGTGGGTTCCTCCTCTGTCTCTCCATGAGGGAGACAAAGGAAGTGGGAGTAGGCAGAGCTATGGACAGGGGTGAGGAGGAGAGACATTTCTATTTGTACGAGACACAGAGGACACATGTCTACAGAGCTGCAAATGGGTCGACTAAATTGCTCTGCAATGAGGTGCGCAGAGGAATAATTTATCATGGCATCTCCCCCCTTGCCTCCCCAGCCACCCTGCAGACCCAAAGGCAGGCCCCTATCCCTACCCCTCACCCCCATATCGATCCTGCAGCCAGCGATCGGGGGCGCCCGGAGCCCACCAGAGTGGCCCTCCCTTCCCCACGATGCGCAGCGCTCCTGCTCCGCTGGCGCTTGGCTCTGTGAACAGATTCACTCTTGCACAAGTGATTTCATGTTCCAGACGTGCCTAAGATTGGTGTGCTCCCCTCTCCTCCCCGCCAAAAATACAGAGATGGAGAAGGGGGTCCACATGGCTTCGGCCATGGCCTCGTTGCACACAGGGAGGGCAGAGCCACGTGGTGCCCTCAGCATGCTTTTGCAAGGGCGAGGGGTACAAAATTGGTGCAAAAATTTTGCACGTGCCAATGGCTGCAACAGCAAGGAGGATTTGTGCGAGTGCGCATTACACACTGCACACAAAGGAGCATCATCCTACATGGAGAAAGTGGTACGAAGCAGCGATGGAGCAAATCAGCAGTTAACTTACCAGCATGGCCACACTGCCCTAGAGTTAAGAGCCTGCCCCTCTTTCTCAAATATACTGCTGCCCTCACCCTTCAATGCAGTCTCTTTCCTATGCAATGTATGTGTGCGTAGCACTGAAAAGAGGGGAGAGACTGGTGCATTCCCCCCTCTTTTTTCAATTAACCATCTGGAAGGCATTAATCAAGCTACACATTTTTCTACTATGTAGGCATAACCAGTGAACTGTTAGCGAGAAAGCTTTGTTATCTTCTGAGCCCTGTGGCCTGGCAGAGAGGCAGAGAGTGCGGAATAAAGAAAGGCAAGAAAGAGAGGAGAGAATGAGATGGCGAACGAGCGAAAAAAAAGGAGAAAGAAAAAAAAAAGCCAGGGGAATCAATGAAGGAGAAAAAGACAGACCAGAAAAGGGGGGAGGTCAAACTGGACAGAAAATCGGAAGGGATGGGAGAGGAGTAGGAAAGATAAGCACCCATCCAGAACTGGGGTACACAGGGGAAGGGGGACGGGGCGAGGCGGCGAGGCGAGCGCGCTGCTGAGCAGCAGCTGCCTCTTTAAGAAATCTCGTGTGCTAAATTTATCTCTCTGCTGTCTGTGAAGACTGTTTGTAGGAGATGAAGCCTTGAGGAGAGCCTTTGCCACTGCCTGCCGTGCTATAAATAGCGCCGAAGAGACGGAGGGAATTTATATATATCCTCACTGGGTCTAGATACAACATTGCTACTGCCCTCTCTCCGAGCAGGGGGCCTAAGCGAGCTCTTAACCCTTTTATCTGTGATGCAGCCAGGGTGTAGGAGAAAGCACAGAGGGGAGAAGGAAAACAGTATGGGAACCACTTAAAAATTATCACTGTAGCTTTGGGATTGCAAGTATTGGTTTTACAGCCTCCGAACTTGGCATTTCTGGGAGGGCTGCTTGAAACACAATACATCTCCCACCCTCATCCTCCTGGACAGGTGTTGCTGGGTGCAGGACGCCATGGCGGAGGAGCAGATGTGAAGATACACCTGAGGGTAGCTACACCTTGACAGGATGGTCCAGAGTGGCAGGTGCAGGGTCCATTGTGGCCAGCTGCTGCGACCAAAGAGTCACGAACAGGTATGACTCATTCCCCCTGTACCGCACACAGCATATACTGTATATATTACACTGCACCCATGGGAAATAGCAGCTACAAATGCATTCTCCTATTTTCCCTAAAGTGCAAGATGCAAAAATGTATTAAATGAAAATTTTCCACCCCATTTGTGGGACCCTGTGGGCTAAAACCTTTCCATAGCGTCTGTCCCAAGATTGCTGCCTGGCTGGCTAACTTTGCCACACAAAGGGCATTTAGAGGAAGCCTTTTCTGGCATGGGAGGGCTCCTCTAGGCTCTCAGCAGGATTTGCTTATCACCTGCAGTGTCTGTTGGAAATGCAGAGCACGACACAGTGAGCTATGGCGACCACACTCCATGCGCCAAATCCTGCTCACACTAGCAGCTAGCATAAATCCAGAGCCACTCCACTGATTTTTGCAAGATCACACCAATATACATCAGCAGAGATTTACATCAGAGCAGAATTTAGCCCTGTTGATTCAAAGCAAAGAGAAACTAGAGACAGAAGATTGGAAAAGAACATCTTAAGATGGCATCAACCCCAGGGAATCAGATAACCTCTCTCTATGTTTAAGTATGGGCATATCTACATTGCATCCTTCAGAGACCTCCCAGCTGGCTCCAGGTCCAGAACTTCTGGTGATCTTACTGCAGCATTGCTGTGCAAACGAGGATTGGGAATATCTACTTGCATGTTTTATTCCAGAGCCTGGGCTAGCACAATTGCACACTGCTGTCACCTGCTTCTCCGGAGCCATTTTGCTGCGTTGCCATAGCCCACAGAGCAGGCCTGCCTAGCAAGCCCTGGGGAGCAGCAGCATGGGAACCACCTGGATCTGGAGCTCTCATGGAGCTGGAGTGTCATAAGATGTGAGGGACAATTGGCCTGGGAGGCTGGGTTCAGCTCACATCCTGCCTCTCGGCTTCCTAAACCTTAATAAAGCAGTCCTTCCTGGGTTAAAGCCGATGGTATCCCAATGAGGAAGGGTATTTTTAATTCCTCAGGTTTCAGAAACGTCTTAGACAGCAAATGTCCTTTGCCATCCCCTGCTCGGGGTCTACAGGTGACCACAGCATCACAACGCCACTCCCACTACCCCAAGGCAGGCCTGGCTTTTGCTGCTTCATGCAGCACCCAGCATCTTCAGTGAAGCCCGCAGCCTGGCCGTAACCTCACCACCCACTTGCCCCTAAAACACAGGATGTTTGTGCTCTAGAGGGGCCAACAAGAATTCTTTTTCTAGCTCCTTTGGTGACTGCGTAATATGGACTCATGGGACCCAGCAAAAAGCTGAGAAGTTCTGTTCACTTCTTACAGCTAAAAGAGGACTAGAGCCAGAGTAGGGCACACCAGTGCACGTGCCAATTTATGCCCCATCCAGAAGGTCACTGGACTGATCTCTACCTAATGCTTTGATGGCTATAAATATATTACCTTGATATGCTCTGAGTTGTTGCATAAAAAGATGTGTTCAGTTGACACACAAGACAAATTGTGCACGGGGAGGACTGACTGGATAGATGTATGAGGCAGCGGCTGCACAGTCAGGGACCACGGGGTGGCAAACGTATTTAAGGGCTGATAGGAGAGTAAGAGGTGGAAAAATGGGGAAAGGAAGAAAGAGTGATGACAGAGCATTGACAGAGGAGACAGGAGTAAAGAAGAGAGACAGGAGAGTGCACAGGAAAGGACAGGAGGCCACTGGGGTAACAGAGCAGAGGAGAGAAGAGGCATGAGGACAACTAAGGGGAGAGGAGCTGGGTGAAGGTGACTGGGAGAAAAACAAGAGATTAAAAGACAGAAAGCAAGGAGTGCTGCTGTGAGAAAGGAGATGAAGAGACAGAAGAAACCATGCCCCTGCAAACAGTTTCAGACAGAGCACACTGCCTCCAGGAGGAGAGAAAAGGAGAGAAAGAAGCACAGGAGGGCTGGGCAGACACCAGGGAAGGATGTCATGGTCCCTGTGACATTACAAATGGGCACTGGAACCTGGCCAGACTCTGTCTTCTCCTTTCTTCTCCTTTTCTCTTGCTTTTATACCATCTCTATCCCCTTCCATATTTGTGAGTGTGGAATTTCATCGACTTGATGGAGATTCACAGAGACACTGCCCAACAGAGGCTCGCCTGCTTTCTGCAGCACGCTCTCAATGAATTAGCCTGCTCCCCCAGCCTCCTGCTGGCTGCTGAGCCTGGCCACCACCACCTTCTTCTCCTACCAACTCCCCTTTACTCCCTCAATCTCTATCCCCTTCTTAAGGATTCAGAACAAGCCCCTTGACAGGTCACAACCCTTATACCTCCCTTCCCTCAAAAAGGACTTATTCATGCTTTTGCCCTAATTACTTCTCCTGGGTTGTCTCTGCCTTTTTCCTCTGGCACTGCTGGCAAGGGGGTGCAGTTCTTCTAGGGGGAGACAGGGCTATGGAGAAACCACCATGCATCTTGAAAAAAGCCAGCCCTCAAACAAAAAACACCATCAAAAGTAAAATTCAGTCAAGCGATATCAAGCAGTTCTACTAGGTTGGGAGCTAATGAACATCCCTCTATTTCATCAGCACTCACAGGACCTGAGCAGAAGTACAAGGTATCCTGAATAGCTCACTGTGGAGAGTATCCTTCAACCCAAGCAATAGACAGGCAATATTTCCAGAAAAGCAGCCACTGAGCTCTAAATCACACAACAAGGGTGCCGGGCCCCAGCTTGTTACAGCAAGGAAGGAATGCCCACCGGAAGCCTGTGTTGCAAAGGGACAATGTAACCTCACCCCCCTATTTCACCACCAGCATCTGTGGGCTGAGCCAGGCAGTGGGATGAGACTGGTCCACCACATCAGTAGCTCAAACAGAAGTGCTCAAACGTCTGCACAGTAGTCCAACACAAATATTTCAGTTCCTCACAGATACGCATATCATGAGCCATTTCATTCCCTCTC